AGTGTGTTTTGTGCCCCTCTTCTTGGTGGGTCAGAGCTCAGGATTTTTTAACCTTAGTGAACTACCTGTGGTTCACAGATCCGGTTGTAGCCCTGGAGGTTGGATTTTCGCCTTCTCGCTTTGTGGGGAAACACCACCACATGAAGAGGATTTGAGATACTGGGGCATTTTTCGAGATACAAGGTCAGGGTGACCAGCTACAAACCCCGACAGCCGGCCATGACCATACTGAGGCTTTTGGAGCTATGCACGCAGCACTACGTTAGATCGGCTACTCGTTTTCCTACTTGATGAATTCGGAACATTGAAAGGAATTGCAGAGAACCGACAGCATTTGCGCTGTTGTCCTCACTTCTTGTTAGACCGGAAATATTGGAAAAATGCGCACGCATTGTTATACTGTTTTGCTGTGTATTGACCATAGAGATTAAATTTATCGTACTTCCTCTCGAAACAGGCCTACTATTCACCCGCCTTACTGGTTCGTATTTGTGTTATATGCTGAATGAGCTTGACAGCGATAAGCGACGTTCCCTTCGTTATCCTCGATGCCATTGACGATCATATCCTTACGGATTACGACTGATGTAAGCGGTGCAAATAACCTCGCAAACGACTGACTGAATTTTCATCCGTTTTCTCAAAGGTTTCAGCGTAGCTAACCTTCAAGTACATCAAAATGATAGAGATGAAATATAAATGAAGCTAAAATGGCCGCCTGGCGGTGGTCCCATACCTGCCATTGTATGAGTAATTTACATGAGAAAACTGGCTACTGATTCGAATGCAAGTAGTGTCATCCAAAATGCGATAATGGATTTAACTATGTTCCTTTGCAGAGCAATTTGGTTGATTTGTGCATGGCGCACGACACGGCGCGTATCATCGAGTGTGCTTTTCAATACGGAACCGAGGCACAGCGCTGGGAAATTTTTGGTCTTCTGAAGTCCAAATTGCGCTTGATGTCCAAATCGCTCTACGCAAAGCACATCGTACATAAACTCATCAAATATGGTGCGAAAGAACATCGACTGGCAGTGCTGAAGGTAACTTGATAACTTTCCTCATTGGTTTAGAATTTGTCGATTCTTATTAGTTTCTTAATGCGATCTTCGCCGCATTGCACCAATCTAATGGATAAACCATATAAGTAGTGCTGAGTTTAGACGCAAACGAATCGCGGTTGCCCATTGGAGCAATTGATCGACCTCCATAGATTACGCTATTTGCGGAGTGTGTTGCGCATGTCACCAGATCGGTTGCCAGAGCGATGTTTGTCTGGGTAGATAGTGAATGGAGAGCGGTTAAGCTAAGACCCGGCATGGGGGTATGAAAACCTTAATCAGTAGATTCGGTCATGTTGGCTCCTCTTTATGGGGACTCTGTGATAATGGTAACCGGTGATTAGAGACATTAACTGATATGGCCGAATGTAGCAAACAGTGGCACTCGTGCATCTACTCATTATTCTTGTAACCAATGTCTGTGTGAATTCTCTATCTTCTTCTGGACTCTGATCTCAACATCCCAATCTTCATTCTGTTCCTTTATCCAAATGGGTAGCCAATAGACAGCAAGTAAGATCACCACACGAAATTGCATACTTAATGGATCTAAAAACTGAACTGAAACGAAACATTGATTTCTTACTGTGGAATTGACTTCCGCCTTTCAATGTTAGTGCAAACTGAAGTTGAGCCTGGAGGGAGAGTCGTAAACTGGAGACTCAAGAAGTTCAGAGTCAACCTTTTTAGGTTACATTGTTTCCGAACGATATTGTTCTTTTCAGCTCGCATATATTTCCCCAACCCATAAACTCTGTATTTTGTAGGTCTTCCGCGGTCATGTAGCTCGTCTAGTGAATCACCGGATTGCCTGCGAGTTGGTCGATCTGCTGTACAACGACTATGCAAACGCAACTCAGCGTGCTGCCCTAATACAAGAATTGTATGGTAATGTGCACGCGTTGAAACTAGCTGAGAATCAAGTACACACCCTGTCCGAGGCCCTAGCCGTAAATCCCGAACTGAGCAACGTCATGTTAGAAAATCTCACAGAGTTGCTCACCACGTTGGCAAGGAAGTAAGTTTTTTTATTCACCCATTTTCACTGTATTCGTTTGACTTGATCAAGGGTGAATTGCTCAGTGAGCATTCAGGTCTGACGGTGCAATGTGTGCGTCTGGTCTGAAAACAGTGTTGGGATTGGATGAAGAATTTGAACTGGTCAGTCACACATATGCATGACTTTTATGAGCCACAATAATTGGGACGTGTTGTAGTTATGTCACTGGATAGACATCGTACACGTGCGACGTGGTCCGAGGCAAGTAGTAATTAGGCGTATTTAATTGTATGCATGCTCTGTTGGTCTGTGATACATGACAGCTAATTTTCCCAGGAATTATTTCCTTCTAAAGCCTTTAACTGGTCCAAGCCTGTCAGCCAGTGTAAACAGATCATCGATCATTGGAGCTGTTACACAGTTACGTGGTTTGCACATCCTTGAGACACGATTCATACGTTCAGGGTAACCAATATACCACGTCTAACCTATCGTGGGGCTTTATCTGGTTCGCCACTCTGTGTCCCGGGGCTTAGGTTGACGGTTTCCATCATTGAATAGCAGGTCTACACGACTATGGGGTTCACCTCGTTACTGTTCATCACGCTAACATGTGTAACGTAAAAAGCTGGCTTCCAGTCTACCTTTTTCACAGGCTACCTAAATTTTAGGACAATCTCTGTCCGTTTTTCCTGCTACCTACAACGTTTATCTCCAAAACAAGAATAAAACACGATCTGTGGTTACCTTTTTCCACTAACCCCCTCCATTTTTCCAGTGTCTTCAGATTATGGGACCTTCCTCTTTTATTGTGAGGTTGTGTCCTGAAAACACCGAGAGTGTTTCCTGCTGCAAAAATTAGCCACACCCATTAGCAGAGGAANGAGGAATCGGGAGGGTCTATGTAGATAAGACAGAGGAATTAAGAGAAACTTTTACAGGTTAAAAAAAAATGAAATCCACGAATGGATCTTCACTACACAATAGTGATAGGGATACGTTTGTCCCTCAGTATACCGGGGTTAGCTGGTTGCGGCTGCGCTGTATCTGGGATTTTCGATGTATTTATTTCTATTTATCGGAGCTCAGTCTATATCGCGGAATTTCGCTGCGCACATGCAGTTGTCTAACATAGGTAATTTCAAAAAGTTTTTTACCAACACTTAAATTCATCATAGTAAGTCGAAATGAAACAGCATGTGTTTTATCAACGAGCGAATATATACTGCAGTATAAACATCGCCAGTATTTCGTCTTGGGCGCAATTAGAAACTGGGACCCAGACAGTGGTCACCGGCTCGATTGGGCATCGAGGTGTATTGGGCACCTTGGACATTTGACCCTGTCCAAAGGGCATATGATCCAATGAACTGAACTCCGGCCCCCAATGGATTGCGGTTTTCACTCATTGCCGCGCTGCTTTGCGGGTTAGGCTTTAGCTAGCCGAAGGCTCCGGTTGTGGTTTCTTCAAGAAAATCCACCTACCTTGGCCTGGGCAACCTGGCAGCATTCTACCCACATGCAAATCATGGAACGTTTTTCATTTTTATAAAGATTATTGTACTATGCTTTGTTTTGGCATACAGTCTGGATTCAGACGTGTGTGAAATATATATAATGTATACCCAGGGCAGAAGACACTGCACCGTCTGATGAAGTGGTATCTTCGGAAAAGTTGCGATGATCTTCTTGGCTAAGCAGTACGTTCATCTCATCGCATCCTCGTAATCAACATCGTCATCATCTGCATCGTTATTACGCAGTTACATTATCAGTGCTCTTCGTCATTTAAGTTGCTTTTACACTCCACTGGTGAGTACTCATATAAAATTTTATGCGTTCTTGACATTACGCTAGTTGAGGAGTGTAGAAAGAGCAGATGAGGTGTACATGAGAGAATGAACAACGTTTACAGGAGTTTGAAAGGAATTCAAAGCCCTAAATATATTTAGAGCAAGCAATAAAATTGATAGAACACCACTATTTTGCGGATTTTCATCTGTCGTCAGGTTCTCTGGAATGTGTAACGGCCGCAATCGGTGAGGTATTATCGTACACCCGCGAATCGCACCAACAAGTCGAATTAACAATCAAGCTTGTTTTCACACAAAAAGTTATTCACCTTGTTTCCTGTTCTGTAGACACACTTGCTTATGTGGCCTATGAAAGAATGCAGATTAATAAAGAACATCGGACGTTTTCTCAATGCAATTCGATGATTTTCATATCTGTGAATGGTGGTAAGGTAATGTCAAGATATGCATATCTATAGGTAAGATGAGAGCAGGCTTTCTGCCAGATTTATCACAACGCAAGCTCAGTTGTATATGCTCATCATCGTATCATTATCGTACCGCGAAATGCTATGATGCGTACTTCATTGATCACTGCTCTTCGCGATACTTCTGTCTCTCTATTAGCTGTTCTATTTACTGTCGGAATTTCATCCATCTCCGTGCTTCATTATGCCAATAATATCTTATCAAATTTTAAAGGGGTTTGACCAAGTACAGCATAGTTCAGCGCCTCCTATTGGAATATTTGCAAGTCCAGTTCAACGCGCCACCATCAGCATCGGCCACCGGAGGTAGAAATGACGCCACCAAAACCGTTACCGCGGAGACTATGGAGACGAGAGACGGCGAGGCGGCAGACACGGCAGAGTCACAGTATAGTTTAATTGGTCTATTGGAGACGTTGGTCGATGGTCAAATTGTACCCATGCTTCACACTCGCGACGGAGTGCGCGCCGCATTGTACGTGCTGTGGGCATGCCCCGTGCGTTTGCGCAAAATCCTTGTCCGCGGATTGAAAACCTGTATCAGTTCGATTGCTCGAGATGAACACGGACATTTATTCCTAATTGGTTTGTTGGACTTCGTGGACGACATTGTTCTGTTAGAGAAGTTTGTAATCAAGGTGAGTGTTTGGTGTTTATTCATTCTCGGTGAGATTTTGAACAAGAAGAAGATGGATTGGTGGGTGAATAAATAAATGAGTAGGAAACGTTGCAAGCGACTCAGCGCTAAGTACTGTTTTTACATTTTCACATGATCCCAAGTCCAGATAAGGTTTCAAGCAAATCATTGTACTGTCCTATTCATAGCAGTACGGATGACGTACGATTTGGTTTTCAGCTAAATACTTTCACTTCAACCACACTCAGAACCTGACCTACAAAATGTGGATGAACGAGACCCTTCTGTGTTTTGTTTTTGCCAACGTGTTCTTCAGCTTGTGAACTCATCTGATAGATGCATTGCATCACTTTCAGTTCTATCGTCTGTCTGAGCCCACCTTCCCCTTCAAAAGGTTGAAGCACGCTCGTGTTTCCGCGATTGCATTGGGGGATTCTTCTAATGGCGGGACTATTGCACAGGTAAATGGGCCCCTTCTGTGATAGAACTACGTGTCCTGTTTTGTTGTCAGTCATTGTTTTCTTGTTGAGAAACCCATCAGTCTCGTATCTGATGCCAATCGAAAACCCTCAAAACGTTCGAAGGTTTCTGGTGAACTTTAAAGTGCCAATAGCAGCGGTTTCGGGGGAGGTTTTCATTCGTTAACATTTCGGTTATCATGATTAACCGTTCTAAAGACAGTTTTTGCAATAGAAAAAGAAACCCATCTTGAAGGTTACCCACGGTAACAGAAATGTCGGCGAATCATTCTGTTAGCTACCAACAACATTGTTATTGGCGTTCTATCATTTACAATAATTAAAGTCGAAACAACCGCTAGACATCCGATGGAATGAATTTTCAGTCTTTTCGGTGAGGTACGGTAGAAAGATGTGGATAAAACAAGTAAGAGGTGACAAAATAATAGCTTAGAAAAAAAAAACAACGCGACGGGTGATTTACCTTGTCCATCATGATTGATACCCAATTTACTAAGCTACAAGTGGTATAAAGAATGGTGCTATTTTGGTAAGTGATGGTGCATGTACGGAGAGGCGTACCTGTTGAACGAGTACGGAGGTGCGTTTGTATTATTGATGTGGGCATGCGTACACTTGTCTTCATTTGACAGTGGATGGCTGATGAATCGGTCGCATGCATCAAAATCTGTGCACTCAATACACACTGTACATGGCTCATCAGTTCTTCCATACACTCCTAAAAACATTTTGAAGGCAATCAGAATTTGTATTGTGCCAATTAAAACCGAAACATACGATGCTTTGAAGCAAAAGCAATGCTCGAAGTGGAACAGTCGTCCTGGCCGTGTTGTCAGCAGGCCGCTTGTTTTCTGAAGTCACAGATAGCTTTCCGATGTGTTCGTTGATGACCTTACTGGGGTTTCTAAGCTTGGCTTGCCGCTTCCCATAGCTGAACAGTAGGTCACCCATTCCATTGTTCGAAGTGATATGATGCACAATGAAAAGACGTTATTCTTGAGAAGCGCCCACTACAACTTCTCTTCCTATGCCGGCGCTTACATCAACACAGTCATAATCATTGTTTTGGTTCAAATATCAGCATCAGTGTAGTGATACTGGTTGCAGTGTTTCCTCACGCCCACTTATACACTTTTTAGAGGATATCGCGCAGCTATTAGATTGCTAACCATATAAGGCTCTAAGTATTGAAGCCTATCCCCTTCATACTGTGTGTTATGTATTACAGAATCCTTCTATTGCACACAATCGCTCTGCGACAGCGTCGCACTCAAACAAAACTGGCCTTTTCACTTGTTGTCTTACCACAGGAAATGCTCTCCGAACTTGATCTGTTCTGTATGCATCCGGAAGCGCGAAAAGTCCTTCTGTACGCCCTGTCTCCGCGCGATTCACGGCACTTCTCTCCACAGCTTCAACAGAGCCTGTTGCATCCGGGTGATCGGAATTTGTACACTCGCAAACCACTGGGTGTGCGAGCAATGGAGCTGCGCAGCCCGTCCACTCGTTTGTTACCTGAGCTGTTGAAGGTAGCTTCCGAAAAATTGACCACTCTATTTGCTGGTGATGCAACTCCAGAAGGGCGCATTGCTCTAGAAGATCGAGGCCGACTAGTGTTGCTTTGTGAAATCTTGCTTCACAGGTGAGCCTCGTTTGGTCTTAGCTCTTTGTCTGCGCAAATGCACGCGTTTATTATGTGCATGTTCATGAAGATTGGATCATCATGCTGAGAGTTCTTGAAGGTGCTTTAGACGAATCGTTCTGTTTTTTAGCACATTCTTAGGACTTATTCTCGGCAGGCCTCGCCTGAGGTTTTAAGACGTTGAAATGGAATACGTATCAAGTTTACCCGTCATGAAGCACTTTTACATGCTACGTTTGAATTCCCCATGGTTTTGGTGGCAATGTACTGCTACCACCAAGGTATTCCTAGCAAGTACAATGTGTGGGTTTGGTCCTTTTAAGGTGTCTCACTGGCCCATGTCATAACTGATAATCATTTTTTATTTACTCAAGCAACTCACCCCATTACTTGCTCGTGTTGGGCACCTACTGTCAAGGGTCTCGCCAACAACCCCCGGTCTGTCACTGGCGTGCTTTGGACCCGACCTTACCCACTACCAAATTTCGACACAGTTCTCGTCGAACGGCTACTTGGTGTTCTAGTTCAACAGGCAGATTGACCCAAATTGACCACGTAGCTGTAAGCTACCGTTGGCGTAGTTCAGTACAAAATTGCAGATCCTATTGGTCTACCTACGTTGAGTCGGATCATGCACTAGTTCTGCTACGCTTCGCTCTTCGACTCGTTGGTNGCAGAAATCGCCTCCTCGATTAGCTCACCATCGTCTGCGCGATCCAGCTGTCTGCGCACGTTATGAGGAGAAGCTGGGACAGGAGCTAGGAGAACCGTGACATAGTGGAGTAGACCAACAGTGGAATCAGATTAGATTTGCGGTGCACTCGGCTGCAAACTTTGCTTGTGGGATTGAGCCCGAAGTTCGCCGAAGGCATTGGATTTCTCAGGAATCAGTAATCCTAGTGGATCAAAAGTGAAAGATCCCAATCTACCAGGATCAGCATAAGGACCGGTGTCGTCTGCAACGTCAACTCAGGAAAAGTCTTAAGAAAGTTCGCGAAAACTGGTGGGCCAAAATAGCCAGTGAAATGGAGGTAGCTTCTGCATCAGGGAACAGTCAAAGACTATTTCATCTGATACGCAGCACCGGAGGTCGTCGCATACC